TGGGTTTATTTAAACATGGATTGTCTTGGTTATGTTTACTTATACGCACATATTACATTCGACGTATTAGAATAGATATAATCAACAAGAAATTCACATAGTGGTGGAATATATTGCACGATGTACAAAACTGTTGGGAAAATACAAATATATTACCAAAGCGTTCGTTACACGTTTCCTTCCCCCGAGGCTGCGGTGACCGATTGGTTAAGGCGTCTGACCGTCTACGATCACTAGCCCGCCACCACTGGGTCGCGGGTTTGAGGCATACGTTGTGCAGTCGACGGGTACTCGCAGCAGGTCGTTGGTCTTTCTCTGGGCGCTCCGGTTTTCCTCCACTACCAAAACCTGGCACGTTTTCAAATCACCATAGCTGTTAATAGGACGTAAAACACAAACATACCAAACCATTCATCCTAAACATCAAAATTCTCTCCCATGTGTTTATTATTTCTGAAACACGGCATGTCACAGTTTAGAGAAACATATTTTAGGCGTCCCAACTCTCATCCACTTCTCCACTGTGGGAGGTTTTAGAGAACACCACGCTACTGTATGTCACACACAGCTAACCGTTCTCACACTTGTTCCTCTCAAGGCTAGAAAGAAAGCAACTGACCTGCAGTATTCCATTGAACAATTCTAAAAATAATTGGCTTAGTTCCGTTTTTATCCCTTTTCTACAAATGTTTTACAATCAATGTTTTACAATCAATGCATTTCTTGATATCACGGCTTGCCCACGCCCTTTTTATTGGTTTGTCTCTGTATAATGTGTCGGTGAACCGTTAAGATTTTGACAGATAGTCCCTTCCACCCCCTACTCCTCCCGTTCCTCTCCTCTCCACCCTCCCCACACACACACATACACTACCAACACCTCACCTGCAACTATTTATGCATATCCACAATGAATCGACTGCACGTTGCTCATTGTGTAAGCATATCTATAAACCATGAAACAACGAAATCATATATCAGGCCGTGTTTTACTTGAAAGGGTATCACGTCCTGACTTTGGGTTTATTGGTGAAGAGTTTATATCGGACGAGGAAGTAAAATGTCGGTCCCATGTCCTCTAAACAATGCTATACACCAATATCTTCGTATCTACAGGTAAATTACATGTTAATAAATAGTATACACATTGCTCCACACATGAACGTGCCTCACATCCATCTATCCCCTTTGTCTATCAGTGGCAGGTCCAGTGGGATCACAAGGCTTAGATAATTCTTTTTTTAACATTTTTACTCATTTTACTAACCAACCAACCCCAAACTCCCTTCCAATTTTTTTTTATACAAATTGGAGCCCCCGCCCATCCCTAAATCCGTCACTGGCTTTGCCACGCACTGTCTAAGAATCGAACGTTTTTGTGGTCACTTTGCAGTAAATGACCTTTTTTTCTATCCCGTTCGATGTTCCCTTAAGGAAAAATTTTCACTACCACATGTTATGACGATTTTAGTTTTGACGTTAATATAATATGAACGAATATCACTGGTCTATGTGCACATAGTGGTCTATAGTGGCGCAGTGTCGTGGTTAAAACATCCGTCTACAGTCCTATTTTCGTCTGCTACATGTAATGTGGTAAGTTTGTTTCCCGACATAAATAAGTAAGGCTTGTCAATAAAAACATCTCGTTAAGTGTCAATAACATATATATAGCGTCGTGTGCATTGTTAGAAAATGGATTGTGAACATCGTTTCTATTTCGCGTGCGATTTATTTTCGCGTGTATTCAGTAATTGTCGCACTTCCAAACACCCATTGGCTAGTGTTTGGTGCGTCGTAGTGTCTTTGACAATAACACCAGATAAACTTGGAAATATAATACGAATTCTTTTTGGGTAGATCATTTAGGACTACATCAATGTAAATTATACACACCCCTTTCTCGCCATCACCAAACGCAATCCCCACCACACCCCACTCCGAAACACAGTGCTCGTATATTTTGTTAACAAATTAAACCTGTACAATGAAAACAATATTTTCGATCGAATATGTTAATATTGATAGAAATAATTCAGTCAGAAACAAAAACACCATTCAATATCAAGCAAAGTGCATCAAACGGAATGATGGTATGGTGTATCATTCGCTTTATTGTGTTACTTAGAATGCCTGCCATGCCATACATTCGTTTTCATGTCCCAAACTACAACACTGCCTCTTTACACGGTTCAAAACCATTATTACATATTGCAAAATGTATTAATCATATTATCCTTTTAATTATTATAATGAACTACAATTTAAGGAAAATAGCTCAGTAGAAGTTTTACAACGTGTGCCCTATCCCATTGCTGTTGAACGGCAATAAAATATGTTTAAATCAAATAAATGTGCAATTTGCTATTGATTTCTCTTTGAATTAGTCGAGAATTATGAAGATGTATAACCTACTAAGGAAAGTTAATGGTTAGGTTAGAGTATTCATTAAATATATGTTTGACGTTTAGTTCCTCCGGTGCTACTGATATACTCTTACATCCTAGGTATAAATTGATATTTACAATTTGCAAGTGTCAATTCGATCTAAAATGAACAAGCTATTTACATACTAATTGTTATAAAGTCGCGTCTATATTGTGTGAACATGTATATTACCGGTAGTATAGTTATTGACATTCATCACGTAAGTTACTTTTGATTAAATATTACTTAGTAATTTGTAAAATTAAAAATTGAATTGATTATTCACCGATAAAATGGTAACTTTACCTATGTCTGAATGTGACAGTGTCATATCTTTTAATCTTAAATGTTCTTTTTATGGCGTGCTTCCAGCGATATACTTATTAAAATTCAGACCTGCACATTTGTATGTATACCTTATACGCTCAAGGGGGATGGCATCGTCATTTTAGTGACGTGAATTATATTTAGACACATTTATTGATCTAACTAGCGTATAAATAAACTCTTTCACCTCAATTATGCTTTGAAGTATTAAAAACAAATAAGAAAGTTTGTTCGATACGTTTTCAATATCTTTTTTTTATTTTCATTTTCCGAGTTAATTTGTAAACAAATTTGTGTACATAAACTATATCTCGCAAGCAGTGCCGAAACAATTTCTCACACTTTGAATTAATATATCTATTCCGCTGTCAGAATTCCAGTTGTTTATTACATATATTTTCCTATTTTTTGTATGTAAAATATCGATACTTGATCTGGAAGTATCAATCTAAATCAATGTAGTGTATACATAATCATAATTTGATGTCAGCATAACTATCTTAGTAAATTGTAACTGAAAATACAGCACATTTATTTTATGAGTATACGTTAAGAATATTCACCTTTAGATATCTATACTAAGAAGTGCTTCATTTTTTTATTGTTTTAAATATGTTGTATAAGGGCCCTGTGTGTTTATAAACTAAGGACGAGGTATTTCTGTTATAAATCGCATGGTTTCTTATCAGTCAATGCATACAATCCCTCATTCCTAAAGGAATCCTCGCATAACATGCTGAATTACACAAAAAATGAAGTATATGGGGGGGTTAGGTCTCTGTGTGAAAATAGGAAATATAACAAACAGATTTCTTTCAAACGTATAAAATCTTTATTGCCAATAAACATAGCAACACACAAATAATATTTATATACATATATGGTAAGTTACGGCCAAAAGAACTATGTCTTTCAAAGAAAACATTGTGCAACCCAGGGCTATATACTAAGTTTCATTGGTATTGGTCCTGTTTTGTTTATGCAATTTTTGCGTATCACCTCGTGCCAAACAATTAACTTTTCTAAAATAAATAATAAGCTTACAAAATCTAACAACAAACAATCTTATTAATAAAATCCCCATTCAAGCTTACTTCTTTTAACATAGTTACATGTGAAATAATCATACGAAACATTTAAAATGTCGTTATAGCATATATCACTATGACCATGTTCAATAAACATATTTGAAGTTTACCACAGATCAATTTACATATTTGTTTTACAATATTATTTATGAGAAAAATAATACAGACCATTTTTTTTTGATATTCAAATGAAGTAGTTTTTCTGAGTGACAGCGCGGTGATAATGATCTATATTTCATACTTTAACACTGAACACAAAATTCATTTTAACATTAATAAATATTTTTGACAGTTTAACACTAAAATTAATTCATAAAGTTGGTATAGTATCTCTCAAAAACGCTGTGTTTACAATTGTAGGTTTAAACAGATGCCTTTGACAAGCGCAGACCGTGAAACATTTCAAACCCTACAAATCTCAAGAGGTTAGCATTTATAGAAAACAAGTAATAAATGATAAAATTGGGAGAGACAAAAAAAGAAAAATGTCTTATTTCAAGATTCTGTTATCCAAATAAAACGTGACTTTTTATGTCGAGTAATATAGTTTGTTTTGTGGGTTTTAGAGAAAATTGACATTCCATATGATTTCTCTTGTCAACCAATAAAAAACCTTAAAGATAAATGTATAGCTGTGTTTCTCAATGTTTCCATAGCCTACGTGAAAATGTAATAAATTTGGTCGTAAATACAAGAAAGTCTGAGTTCTGAACAGGCCGCTCCGGGCCCGCTTAGCATCTATTACTTGTATTACCACCACACAGCATCTAGCTGCCTGACACACCGTAACCCTGATTTACGCTAGCTAATGTTTCACATTATCATTTTTTTGTAGAAATTCTTCCCCGCTGTTTTGAAAATATGGAAAACATATTCACATCTCTGTACTATGTAGGCTGGGCCTGGCCCGACTTTATGACCCACTGTGAAAACTAAAATAAACCGCCAGTGTAAAACAAGATATTGCGGCGTTTAAACTAGGTTTTCCTCTCCCGTCAGCTCGGAAATACGAGTATTTACCTTCATGGCTGGCTACACGAGATGTAAATCAAAACACAACAGTATAAATACCTTTGAAGTAATCTTTTGTATTCAGTACGGTTGTCAATATTTTCCACGCATTGCCATAGGAACACACGGCAATCCGGACACGTGTGGGTATATAATCTAAACAGTATACATACACAATTACGTCACTTCATACAGGTAGTGTGCACACACCGCCGTTCCGACCCTCCAGCCATGGAGCCTCGGTCTCGCTTGAGTAAACCCTGAAGCATCGCTGTCCCATCCATCAACACAGCGACTTCTCTTGATCTCACATAAATTGGTCCTGATTGGATGAATATAGTCACGTGATTATTCATGGCCTTTCTAATCTTGTCATTCTCCAGTCGTAATTTAGGTTCATTTATTTTAGATTTATCTGCCGATCGACAGCTAATTTGTGTGCCCCATTGACAAAGCTACACAGTTGTTGAATTATGAATTCCGATAACGACTATACTATATGCAACCTCGACTCACATTCGTATGGGAATGGATATACAAATTCTGAAATACCTGGTACACTTTACGGCTATAATACTATCAATAACAGGGCTATAGACACGGGACAACACTACTACGGTGCGGAAAACCTCGTTCCACCGGGGATCTCGGGGGTTGACCTGTCTCTGGGGACAAGCCAGGGTTTGTCCTACCCCGTCAACACACCGGTGATCCCCCGGGGACCGAGGCATGGGTACGAACTTCCCGACCCTCAGCCCCATCCGGGGAATGTGGACCCCTACATGGCAGGACATCATGGGTTGACATTGAACGGTGATGCTCATTTAGGAGGGGGAGGGGGGCTTAGCCTCTCCCCCGGACGGACAAGTTACGTGGGGTCATGTGTTGACACCCTAGGGTCCTGTTCCTTGTCGAACATGTACGGGGCCACAATGTCACAGCCAAACTCCGGACACATTAAACAGGAGCCGACGGCCGCTCAAAGCCTTTCCAATAAACCATTCAGGTGGATGCAGATTAAACGGAATCCCGGAAAAACAGGTAAATATCATTATTTTCCTCCCTAATACAATATTGTCTGACAGGTAAATATCCTTATCTTCCCACCTAACACATATTGTCTAACTGTGATACCGTCGTGTTGTGTACTTCATGTGTTTGTCGGACAATAACATAACACACGTGTTTTAGGGTCGAGGTTTTATGTACACACATAGGTATAATCACTTCATGTAGCTCTTTAAATATCTCATTATAAGACAAAGAAAGCTCGGAAGGTTATCTGTCCGGTGTCGAGGGGCGGATTAATTATGTAAACATTATTTCATTGTATACAATTTTGATAAAAAATACTCTTTATTAATTTATATAATATTGCTCCTCTTCTAAAACGTTTTGTCGGCAAAATCTGTAAAATGTTATGTTACTTGTAGAATTAAGAAAAAAAGATCAACAAATGGTAAAATTTTACTATAAGTTATATGTAAATCATATCATAAATTCTTGATTTTTCATCAGCAACACTTAAAGTATTATATTTAACCTTCGAGTCAAAAACCCGTTCATAATAATAATGACATAAATATATATATATATCATATATATTAAGTAAAGCCCTTCTAAGTTTATTATATAAATACATATATATATATACATTGTTGATACATGTGACAATTAAAGAATATTTTTGTTTTCAATTTTCTACGGTGGTCTTTTGTTTATATAACGTAAAAATCATAATACATAATCTTATATATATAGGCTTATTTCTAAATCAGCAATATACTGTATATCTTTAATATTTAATGTTATAAAAATCGATTGAGCTGATGTGATGATTACAATCCTATCCCGGCGGAGTTGTCAATACTAATACAATCAACATTGTATACCTTAAGCGCGTAACGTCTACTTAGCTTTTGGGATTTGATTTAATAATGTGTGTGTAGATTGATAATCGAAGGGTAATTTATATATCAATATTGAATATTTCCTTTACAAAGCAGAGTCTAAAACCCGATAATTATCAACCGTCATAATAGCGATATCTGACAATTCCTTTCATAATTGTGTCAATATATACACAATCACGGTAACGCTATTTCCTCCGATACTTCCCCAATACTCATTGAAAACCTTGTTTGATCGCCGATAACAATGCTAAACCGGGAATCTCATTAGCTTTAATCCGCGTACGTTTTATTCATTTAATACGTGTGAATCCAAGTGGTGAAATAGGCAATCTAACGGTATATGCTTGTAATAATTGCTAAAAATTGATTGAAACGTCTTTAAATTAACTGCTGTTGGGATTTTCTATTACATTGAATGGGACACTCAGACACGTGGTACGGCCTGTATAATTTGACGGGTTTAAGATGCCGGACACCGATTTGCGCTTTGTTGACAGAAGGCCACAATGTGGTCGGCGTGTTTCAAAAGCTTGAGAAACTAAAACTTCTCAGGTATCTAAACGTATCCGTCTAAAGAACGAGACAGCTTCTGCCTGTGGGCCTAAAAAATCTCAGTTTAATCTCGAATAAGATCAATTTTTTAAATAGAGTTTCATATTCATCTAGAAAACACTTGTCGCAATTTTTGTACAGCTCTGGGTTGGGAATATATCTACAGCCTTTCAATGAATTATTAAAAAGGGCGAGAATATAATTTGTTCTGAGTGTTAAGATGTCTATAACATATTGGAACGTTAGTTTAAAGTCACTTTACTTATCTTAAACGAGTTATATGGCATTTTATGAATTATTCGTAGATATAACATTTCTAGTTTTCACAGTTTATGTCAAACAGGATAAAGAATGAAATTTATCTTCTGATGTAAACATTAAATATCCAAATCGTAGATATAGGGAAATTCGACAGCAATGTTGTCATGTATGTCCGAATTACTTAAGATACGGTAAACATGGCTTTGACAACTTTACATATATAAGTCTTACTAGCATTCACAATTCTTTGAATTGCAATGAAAATATTGTAAATGTATTTTATAAATTTTATTTAAGCAAATCAACATATCTTGATTTGATTCCACCAGCATAGATACTGAGTAAGGGTAACTTATGTCATATAAATATTTCATCTTTACAATGTCATCTAACTACCATAAAACCCAACATACTATTATTCTTGTGACACAAATGCATCCAATATTTTACTTATGCCAGTGTGCACGGCTTATATGGGTATATACAGGGCTAACAATATCATATGATAACATTTATGAAATAAATATATCTACTAAATTGAAACCGTTTTAAATATCTAGATGTCTCGTTCCCATAAAATATCTTGTAAATAGTTCATAGATATTTTATTAGCTGAATTACAAATATACGACTCCTATCTCCTGCGTCTATTCACAATAATACTCTTAATATATGATGTATATTATATGAGTAAATACATACGGGAAAGCAAAATATAAAATAAGTTGTTTTGTATTTTTGGTTATGTTTTAATCAGAAGTTGTCGAATAATATGACTCAGTATTTATCATGTGTTGTATAAACTGGTATAAGTTATATCACAGAGTATGATACTATTTTTGCTCTTTACATATAAAAAACAATAATAATAAACACTGCATACAATACACCATCACTGATCATTCTGGTTATCTACACAGATCTCGCCACGTCAAAATGGATGTATATTGACTAGAATATGAATGACCTAAACATATATATGTGACAAAGACATTATTTTATTTGACTACTCCAAATAATTTCAATGCAAAAATACAGTTATTTCGAGCTAGGTCAAGTCGAAATGATCCCCTAGTGTTATACATAATAAAATGAATATCACTATCACACTGAACCCCGGAAATAAGCCATGATTTATAGTAATGTATTCGCTTTCGTGTAGTTTTACACACACTTTTTGCTTCTCTCCTAATCCAAATATTTCACTTTCTGAATCTTATTTCGTTGCTGTGTTGGATGCTAATATTGGAATGGTTGTTGAATAACCTTGTTGAGATTTTTTACTCGTAACGACCTATTAACGGACGTGTATGGATCCCAGACTTTGTACAACTGGTTGACAGTCTGGGTACATGCATTAAGACAGGTATGGAACAGTAACCGGGCGACCGTTCATGCTCTCACTCTTATAATAATATTTGTTCAAACATTTAGCAATGTATGTGTGTGGAGTGCAAAAGAAGACAACGTACTGTCTATCCCATTAGGGGAACAGATAAAACACAAACCATGACAGAGGCGAGTGTGTTTACTTCCCTACTTCACATAGGAGACATTCGTTATGAGCGAGAGACAGGCAATCTTTTTTGTCAACTGTACTAAGATGTTGGGGTCGACCCCAGTGTGTTTGGACCTGAGTGGCTGGTATCCCGACACACGTGCTCTACCCACACCAACCCAACCCCGTGTCACAGGAACGGGGGTCCCTTGTTTACACACAGGCGGGTGGATGTGTTTGTCCTTACTCGCCCCATTACAGACCTGTGCTTATAATCCTGTTAAACAGCCTGCAAACCTTATTAGGTCTATTTAAAAATTTACCTTGCTATTACCAATGTGAATTGAGGGTCTTTTGTAAATTAGAAAAATAAACAAACTTCAGGTATAACGGACTCCACTGTCTGTTGACTTAGCGCTGACTGTCCACAATCTCAAACATGCATATTGTTCTGTAAATAGGATATCAATGCAATATCGTTCTTACGTCAGAAGAGACTACCAATGTGTTCATAGTGAATTAGCAATGTCCCCAGTTCTGGCTAATAACCAGTGTACTGTTATTGTAAAGAGAACTGAACCATCTGATATCACAACACATACAACAAGTTTATATAAAATTATATCAATATATATCACAATGTTTCTTTGTATTTTAAGTGCATATTCTGTTTTCAATACCAGCTTTATTTTTGTACTCTTCCAAGCTGCTACATATCAATACGAGTATTTAACAGTAAATCATAGACATATTAAATCTATTTATTCATTTCAAATGGTTCTGATAACCTTTCGATTAGTTCGAATTTATATTCTCTGTGTATGCAACATGTCGTTTCAACAGAAACACCCGTCATACTTTGAAATAACACAAGACGTAAAATCAATTTAGGCACTGTTTAGCGACCCCTAAATCCCCTTTCCCAGCGTCTGTACGGGAATAAGTGAGGGGGAGAGTGACACCAGATACAAAATCCCCCCTTAAACCTCCATTGTTAGCCTCCTCTCAATCTAAACAAGGTGAATAGTCACAGCAATAACACTCCAGAACGTCTCAATGTCCCAACACAAAAGACTTTGAGATGTCCCTTTCACTTGCATGTGTATTTGTGGTTAAATATGCCTCCACTGTTTTTCATTTCTAGCGTAAAGAGAATTCTGATAGCTGTTTGTAAATAAAACTGCTATTTCTGTTAAAACAAATGCAGATTTGCATTAAATATAATTCTTTTATAACTATTTGATTTTCCTACAGAATGCTCATAATATTTAACTAAATTGTATAATAGTTATAATGTAAGTTTTGTCCATACTAAAATCAGAGGCCTGCTTGGATAAATAAATGATTATTTCATTTAACATAGGAAGTATGTTTTAAATAAATGATATGAATGTGTTCTATCAAATAAGGGCAGGGAACAGTAAATTATTTACAAGAACGATCACGGTTCGTTTATTCTTAACACAAAGTGAAGTGATAATAAGACCTTTTAGTGTTCATAAAGAAATTGTCTGTCAATCACTGCTGCTCTATCCAAACATAAGGTTTCTTCCTGTCATATCATATAAACCTCACATTCTAGCTCAGAATCTATTACTGCAAACACGTTCACAGATAGTTACCCCTCCTTTCGACCCCAAGGAAAAAACTTTGACTTTGTCTACAGAACTGCCGTCTTGGGAATTCTTGCAATAGATGGGCCATTAATCACACAGGATTCCGATTGTCAAAGAACGAGCGCGGCCATATTTATGTTTTCCGAGTTTCCCGTGAAAATACAACACTCAGCGTCCGTAGCGTAATTTCCATGCGGGACC